GCCGTCAGCATAACGCCTACAAACATCAGAGTAGAAGAGAAGCTGCATTTTCTAAATAGGATTTTCTATTTCAATGGATATGGTTTATTGGTTGCAACATCAGGGTTACCTTAACCACAGGACCATATGGACTATAGTCCTGGACTTCTGGAGTGTCAGCCTTTTAGGGTGACAGTTTTGATTGTATTCAAATTAGTTTATTGGCTTCATTTAAACTTTGTAATTTTATTTGCTTTTTAGTAAAAAGAACTTCACCGGTCACTCCGCCCCTATTTTCTCACCCACGTATTTTCGACGAATTGTTTAGGATTGCTCTGATTCAACAGCAATACATCCCTTCAATCCGATTGCTCGTGAACGAAAAATATTTCTAAATGCTTTTGAAATAAAAAAGGGACGAATTTAATCAAATCTATAGTAAGAGAACATGGTTATAAACCCTCATTTGTCAAACAAATTTATATATAAATCGATAAGTATGACGCCATTATCAAAAAAAAAAATTAACGGAATGTCACTGTTAGAAAAAGACATCGAAAATATTAGTACTTGTAAGTTTAATAGCTCCAGAAGTAGGTATAATCTAAAAATAATGGCATCCAGCTAAAAACAATAAATACGAGCATTAGAAACAAGAGGCGTTTTTGGTAGTTTATTTATTATTATTCATTATCACAATACGATAGGCAAAGTGGTAGAACAATAGAAACACGTTTAAAAGAACATTTTTTTAGTATATAACTAAAAAACATGATAAACGACGTTTTGTAGAATATTCAAGAAAATTGTCTGCAATTCATAATTCATCATTCGAATATAAAATTTGATTCATTCGACTTTTCACTTCTGTAGTATACTATTTTGACATAACATCTTCAGAAATAATAAACTGAGGATACGTTATTGATTATTTTCGATTCCTCCCTCTCCATTAAACTATATTATCCTTTCAGACGAAATAAATTGGAAAACTAATTTAATATAGACTTTGTGAATCTTCTTTGTAGATACGTTTTTAGTTTAAGTAGGGATTGTAATAAATACTTTAATTGAGTTTTGTTTGTCCATATTTTTTATTACGTGAAGTAGATATAATAAAAAATGGTCGATAACCTTCCTACGTAATACTTGGCCGTTTGAGTCAATGAGATTCTGAGAACATTTTTTTATTGTAATTAGATTTTGAATCCTTACAAATAATGGTGAATGATAAAGTTGATGTAGTGAATGGACGGCATGAGTCATTTTAATTTGATTAGGTCTAACGTACGTTTATGAGAAAAGGTTAATAAGCTTGACGTATAAGATTTACCCATGTAGTAGGTATTACACCAAAAAGTTTAAACTAGTCTTAAACTATCTTCTTCAGTATGTAATATGTGATGACTGATGATATATCTCAACATTAACATTGTGGAAGCCACGGAGTTCAACAATCTTCATTTATGAAAGTAAATGGTATGGTGTTTAATGATTCATGTTTAAAATCAATATATTATGTATTTGAAGAAATCTGCAAACGCCTTTAATATTTATTGTACCTAAATTATCTTTCAAAAGCGTCATTGTCAGTGCACTGCTAAATGTTTGGAACTCTTAATTTATTTACTTACATGAATCAAAAATCAATTTTCTACTTTCGTCTCTTTCCCTTTGCTAACTCTCTACAAATACGCCGAATTTTAGCACATTTTACCAAGTAAATAAGCTACTTCCTGTTTACAGTTGGATGTACACACATCACAGATACTTTTCTTTAGAAATCATTTCGTTATTGGAATACAAAAATTTCGTTGGAAAATTCAATTTTAGTGCCATAAAAGAAACCATAAAACACAAACATAAATCACATAAGTATCGGTTCTAAAAGTTCAGTGATATTTTCCGACTTTGAGCAACTTTGAGAAATTTATTCGAGAATGAATTTAGATATTCAATGTCAAGTTTTCCACTAGCTTCGCAAAATATGTCATTACTAATTTTGTACAACAGTGCATATAACTAGAGCTTGGCTCAACCAAATGTTCGGAAATAAGTACTTGACATTTGACCTTTAACATTCCATGCAATATAAGCACGAGTATTTTGTACAGCTTGCGTTACTATGGGTATAAACTTGAAAAAGGTATTTGCAGTTCTGAACTACTGTAATGTCCTTTAACCTTTGCATTCAAGAACTCTACGATACAATAACATTTACAAGACTGAGTGAAGCATACGTATATCAGATTGCAAGCTTCTTTCTAAATTTCCAAGATTTCCAAAGGAATCTTCGTAGAATTTTAAAATATATAGGTAAGATGTAAAGATAACGACAATATACTTTTACTGATGATAATTAAATTTCATTATCTACCAGGCACTTCCACCACAAAATTAATTTCACTTTAAAACTTTACAAAGCTTCTACAGTAAGTTAAAAATAGGCCTACAGTCTCAAAATGAAATGCAGCAGGATTGAGGTTTTGCAAATAGTAGGTAGAAGCAAAAGGTAATTGAATTGGTTGGCACTCAAATACCGAAAATGAGGGTGATTTTCCAAGGTTCAGTGGCATTTGAGATTTTCGACACGCTTTTCTCTGTGATCAGACTTGAACAATTTCTGTCGTTCGTCAAATATTTGTTCTTCCACAAAAGTTCACCAAGTTTACTGGATTCAGTTCGCACTTCAAAGATGAAGTGAAACGTTGTTTTAAAAGGTCAGTGCACTACCGTAGGTACTAACAATAAAAGTGTCGAGTCTTTTTTTATTTACTACGAAAAATGCCGAGATAATGTTCGAATAATTATCCACAATTATACTCAATAACATCGAATTAAGAGTGCGGAGCGAGTGGTAACATGGCTCACATATTTATCTTTCTAGAAAGAATATACGTGAAAAAATACTTGTATAAAATTGTTAAGAGTGAGGGCTTAGAATGTCAGTTTTACTAGTAGTGTATAATCAGTTGAAAAAGTTAAGAACCGCTGCTCTAGTTGTATTTGAACTAATTCATGATTGTATAAGGAAACCTTTTGGAACAATTTTGTAAATGCCACATGCATTTTAAAATATACATTTTTCCAAAAGAAAATAATACGAACTTTCCTTTTGAAGTAAATAATATTTTTGTAGGTAAGGTATTTTTCATAGCCGTCACTGTTTTAGGTTACAAGTACTGCAGAACATTGATAAATTAAACCTCGATAACGTAATAACCTCTATAAATGCATAAATTTTTGTGTTCCCTTCCCTTCGGAGTCCAAAACCTCTATTATTTAAAATAAAATCCCTCTATAACTTAAACGAATAATTTGGGCATCGCACCTCAGTAAGCACCTTTCTTTTTTAAAGTATCCCATTTTGCCCCGGTTTTCCATATCTATTATTAACCTGTACTACAAACAAAAGTAAATTCAGCTGCTTCTATTATTTTTTTTATTATATTTATCCATTAATCCAAATATACGACTAACTGTCGATATATAATAGTTGACATAAAAAAAACAATCACGTAATATTATCGATTTAGTGTGAATTTAAATTTCAATATCTTAGTGAAAGTTATGTATAGATTCCTGGGACCCACATTATTACGCACTAAATTTAAATTTGACAATTAAGAATTTAAAGACCACATTTGTTTAAGAATATTGTTTGGGAAATCTATAATATATTTAAATGTTTTATACGGCCTGTGTCGAATATTACGCACGGATTCCTTTTACGTGTTGTTTTGCTCAACTACAAAATCGATTATTATTTAGAGCTTTTGATTGTATTTGAGATTAACAGAATCTAAGTAAATGCTTAACCAAACATACCAAAAGAGCGTGTAATAATCACCTTATTTGTTCCGTACAATAATAATAATAAAAATAACGAAATCCTAATATTCGAAGTTTATTTTAATATAAGATTTCTATCTTAATGAATGCATATTCATACAAGTATATTTAGACATAATATAGTCCAAAGGATTAGCCCAATGGTGCTTTAACGTCTCGCTTTATTTTATTACTAATAATCTATTAATATTAGCATATTAACAATATTAAATTAAAATGGTAGTAAGTTTGCATAGAAGATATACATACTTTAGCCTTTCGTTCTTTACGCAAAAGGATCAATAAAATTTCTTTTAATTACACTTTTTTCTTGTTATGATGCACGTTAGTTTCATTTTTTAATTAATTCTAATTAGAAAAGTAAATAACTGTGTCAATAACATTAGACCTTTGATAAAGAGTTTAAAATTAAAATAAGCACTCTTTTATTTGTAGTAGAAGCTTTTTTATATGGCTTTTGTGGCAATGTGCGCACTTAGTAAATACAATATGCATTTGTTTTATTTACCTTTCACTTTTGATTTCCTGTTTAGTTGGCAACACAAGAAAACAAAATCTTTCTCATAAAATATGCATAGGTATACACGTTATTACGTATTCAAGGAACAGACGTCAAAATATAAACAAAATTATGCCATATGCCGCATTTATTACAAATGCGCACATAAATATTTAATCGAATCATTTGAAATAGATAAAAATCCAGGCAGAATTTGCAACCTGCGAGTAGGATAAACACAATACCGTGTGTAATAACATAGAAGATACTTATAGAAATAAATTAATGACAATTGTGTAAATCTAATCCATATACAGGGGCGGCCTTTGGGGGTGACGTAGTAATAGTACTTACTAATGCTTATTTGAATTTCTTAATAGTCTTAAATAAGCCGCAAATTTGCTGTCTTTTATTAATTTTTTCCAATTATTTATGAATAACTTTGAATTTGTCGTAAAGTATCATCATTAAAAGTAATTCCACAAAGACGAGGGCCTCCCAAAAGTTTACCCGCCCGGAACTTCTCAATGGCTAAGGCCGCCCCTGTCCATACGCCACAATGTATACGTAGGAAACGCATTAAACCGGTTGAGTTTAACGAACGCTGAAGGAATGTGTCGATTGATGCAAGAAATTGAATGAAGGTGATAATTAATTATTATTAACTTACCTTAAGAGAAGCCATATCAGATACAGATCTGTGAGTTTGAATAGTTTCCAACTGATCCAGGCACCAATCCAACTCCTCCATTGTTTCTAATGCTAGCTTCATGTATGAGTCATCTGAAACAATTGCATGAAAACCAATAACAAAAAATCTGTACAGATAAAGTTTGAATTATCGAGGGTAGAAGTAAGGAGGAGTATCTCATATGGGGGAATGTGGAAAACGTGTCCAGCTATAAGTAGTTAATAACAGTTCAAAAACCTTCCAAAATGGCGAAAGCGTAGGCAAAACGTATGGTATGAAGTAGCAGTTGTTGATGGATTGAAGTACGTATGCCGTGTTAGAAAATTTAATATTTTTAGTGACTAGAATACTTAGTGAGTCCAGTATACCAAAGCTCAACTATTTACATAGTTCAAAGTGATTTTGTCCTTGCTTATTTTTCTATCCTATTCTAATAACTTTTAGCGTTTTATTTTAAATTTACNATAAGTAGTTAATAACAGTTCAAAAACCTTCCAAAATGGCGAAAGCGTAGGCAAAACGTATGGTATGAAGTAGCAGTTGTTGATGGATTGAAGTATGCCGAGTTAGAAAATTTAATATTTTTAGTGACTAGAATAGTTAGTGACAGTCCAGTATACCAAACCTCAACTATTTACGTAGTTCAAAGTAATTTTGTCCTTGTTTATTTTTCTATCCTATTCTAATAACTTTTAGCGTTTTATTTTAAATTTACCCTGTTGCTACTACAGCGCCACCTTAATTTAACCCATTTTGATGGACACTTTTTGACTACTCCTTACCTCTACCATTCATAGTTCAAATGAAGCATTTTTACGAGCTACAATCATCTGTTATCAAAAACATTGTTTCAATAAAAACATAATTATTATTATTATGTATAGGGTCAATTGAAAAGTCCCCGGCCTGACACATAGATGGCGGCACCAGAACTAAATCCATATGATTTTCAGTTAGTCCTAACCTTCAAAAGACGCGTCTATAAATTTGACGGCTGTCGGATCATTAGTTTGTGAATTATAGCATTTTTAGTGAAGCAACTTTTGTTATTGTGAAAAAAATGGATAAAAAGGAATTTCGCGTGTTGATAAAATATTGCTTTTTGAAGGGAAAAAATACAGTTGAAGCAAAAACTTGGCTTGATAACGAATTTCCGGACACTGCCCCAGGAAAATCAACCATCAAGGATTGGTATGCTAAGTTTAGACATGGTGAAATGAGCACCGAAGACGGTGAACGCAGTAGACGCCCAAAAGATTAAAAAAATCCACAAAATGATTTTGAATGACCGTAAATTGAAATTGAATGAAATAGCAGACACTCTACAGATATCAACGGAACGTATACATCACATCATTCACGAATATTTGGGTATGAGAAAGCTCTGTGCAAAGTGGGTGCCGCGCGAGCTCACTTTTGACCAAAAACAACGACGAGTTGATGATTCAGAGCAGTGTTTGAAGATCATCACGCGTAATAAACCCGAATTTTTGCGTCGATATGTGACAATGGATGAAACATGGCTCCATCATTTCACTCCGAAGTCCAATCGACAGTTATCGGAGTGGACTGCACACGATGAACCCGCTCCAAAGAGTGCAAAAACGCAACAATCGGCTGGCAAGGTTATATATATAATTTTCATTGACTACCTTGAAAAAGGAAGGACCATCAACAGCGACTATTACATAGCGTTATCGGACCGTTTGAAGGACGAAATCGCCGAGAAACAACCGCATTTGCAGAAAAAGAAAGTCCTGCTTCACCAAGACAATGCACCGTCTCACAAGTCAGTGAAAACGATGGCAAAAATTCATGAATTGGGCTTCGAATTGCTTCCGCATCCACCGTATTCTCCAGATCTGGCTCCCAGCGACTACTTCCTGTTCTCAGATCTCAAAAGAATGCACGTTGGGAAAAAATTTTCGTCGAATGAAGAGGTGATCGCCGAAACTGAGGCCTATTTTGAAGCAAAGGACAAATCGTACTACAAAAATGGTATCGAAAAGTTGGAGGATCGCTATAATCAGTGTATCACCCTTGAAGGGAATTATGTTGAATAAAAAAAACGAATTTTGCAAAAAAAATGTGTTTTACTATTTTAGGCCGGGGACTTTTCAATTGACCTGTTATATACTGGCTAAATAAATATGTATACATAAATAGAAGTACAACTTCTAACGCGAGTACATAAGTAACACGCGTCTTTTTCTTTTTAGTTCAGGAAATAGGTTTTCATTTTGGATTGTGAATATTCCCTAAATCTTGATGGTAGCTAATAAAGATAATGGATTCGAATTTTTCGTCAGATTTTACTAATCTAATTCACTTCCCACGTTTCGTTAACTTCAGGCTTTTACTGATGTTTGTTCGCAATTGTTAATTACTTTTTAACTTAATTTCCATTTATAAGAATTTGTAAGGAGGAAGCACAATGAAAAGAACAAAAAAAAATCGCAGTTTTGTTTGCGACGAAAACTATTTTAGGATAATAAATTCATTTGGAGTTTGAAAAAAATTGCAAAGAGAAACTCTTTAACACACAAACACGACCTTGGCAAATTCGCTAATAACTAGGTACCTACTGTGTTTTCTTAATTATTTTTCTATATTATTTAATCTTATTATTAGTTGTTATTCATTATTTATTGGACACATGATTATCTTTCAAGATAGTGCACGCATAGTACTTCATCATCATCATCATCATCATCATCTTAGGGTCCTAAAACGGCGTTGGACACGCATCTCCACTTTACCTTATTCTGAGCTAGTCTTCGCATTTCCCTAAAATTCGAACCCTTGTTACATACCACTTTATCTACTCCAGTTAGGAAATCCTCTCCCACCACAACCTAACCATGGGTTTACACAGTGTATAAATCAGAATATACTTTCCCATTCTGATCTAACTTAATTCATACCACTTACCCCTTGGCGCATAGCAATTAACGTAAGCTAATCAGGAAAAAATCTCTCATATAACCCTACATTGAGCATTTCGCGCAAGTGAATTAGTAAAGAATTTCCCATCAGACGTAAGTCTCTCTCACCATAACATAACTTAAGCTTGCAGTGAGTCCTTCACACAAGTCAATCAAGGAGCCCTCTCTTACTGTAACCTAACCTACTTCTATTGGGCATAGTATCTCACAGGATTCCTCCATACCTAGCGAGTGATAGGAAATTATGATCTTTATGAAAAGTCGGACCACCGGCTCATGACAATTTTAAGGATTCACAGCATAAACCAGTTCTTGAATCGCAGTGAATATTGTATCTGCGTAGCCCAATTATAGTCTACATTTGCATTCTACAGGATCGAGAGATCGACGAATTCCGAAACAAATCTTGGGGAGTCGAGAACCCTTACATAGACTATGAACGGTTATTTATCTCAATTTTAAATACAGAACTGTAATTATGTGGCACGGTTCTCTAATCTTTCATTCCATCTTTAATAGTCCGTCGTTTCATGATTTTATTGACTTGACTTAGATCCGTTATCCGACATTCAAAATTTTAGGAGAAGATTCATTTAACGCGTTTTAGATCTGAATCAATGGACCTAATTATTTAACCTTTAATTCGGTCGGTGGGCGTTTAGCCTCAAAAGATAAAAATTCCGATCCAAAGACAACATTCTGAAAATCCAAAGTAGATCATTTACTTAGTTTCATTCTTTATTAGATGTTTTAATCCCTAATTCCACCATCGGTTTCGCAAAGCTTCATTTCAAACATTTCAAATAATATAAGTACATATTTAGCAGCACGTAGTGACGATGATGATGATGATGATGATGGTCTCTTTCTGCGTACTCACTTAAGTACATAAAAGAACAAAAATGAAAAGATTTAGCAGAAAGCAGACACATTGTAAAATTTGATTAACCTTCGCAATTTACAGCCACGAGTCAATTTATTTCTTATATAACAGTTAATTTTTAATACACGTAAGTACAGAAGCTATATTAATTAATTTCAAATTTCGTTAGAAACTATTTTGAATTACTCTTGTTACGTAGTCGCTATTTTTAACATCAATGGTGTTGCACATTTTCTTTTTGATTCATCAGATTGATGTTAATTTTTCTTGTGTAATCAACAAAAAAAACCTCTATATATTAATTTGAATTACTGAGAACGATTTTTTTTTCTGTTTGTAAATCAAAAACACTTTTTGTCGTTAATTTATGTAACCCTAATTAATCTCATTACGTTACGGCTGTTACAAAGTTACAAACATTTTTTTACTGGTTGTACTGATCGGAAGTCTTTTTCCAGTTTCTTGTTTACGTTTAAACACAGTGATTTGTCAAGGATGTGAAATCAATAAACTGAATACAAGACTTGACCTTTACGGTTTATTACGTTTAAGAGCATACAAAAATGCAAATTAATATACATAAATAATTCACGTATAGTTTGATAACAGGTTCTTACCAACAATAATGCTATAAACCAATTAAGTAAAGAGAAAAAACACCACACAAACCAAACATGAGTAAAATAATACACAACTAACAGCTGTTTCCACCCTAAAATCCTGACAGCTATAATCCCGACAGTCAAAATCTGGATAATCTAAAATCCCGACAAGCCAAAACACTGACATAATCAAAGCAACTAACCTTATCTATATATTAATAATAAAATACCCAGCTGAAGAAGAATATTACAAAGAACCAAAAGTGAAGTCTTTCTAAGCAATTATTATAATTTTTAGCTTCTAATTATATAGATAAAATATTAAATAAAGTGCTTTAAAAGAAATTAGGTTCTTCACATTATAACCTAGTTAAAATAATGGAATTCCTAAGGAGTGTTATTTTCAGAATAAAATAGTTAAAATATGCTAAAGCCAGTTATGATCCTAACTGAATTTGTTTAAAAAGCAAAGTATTACCCCAATCACGGTAAGAAATCGTCGAAAGACGCTTTCAGTTTGTGTGATTCTTTTAGTACATCATTTACGTAAGAAAATAACTATAAATTATTAATTACTTACATCGAATTGCTATAAAATTTATTATTAGTTGACCTCATCATCAGAAAAGGCTATGACCTTTACCAAATCAATTTGTTTTGAAATTAAACTTTATAATAATTTTTGTAGCCATCAAAGTATAAGGTAAGCTTTTTTCTTAAATTATTCAATCTGTACATATATCGTCAATGAACAACATTTTAATTTACCTAAGATGTGCTTAGCTGAATAATTTTGTTTTGATGCCAGGAACTTTCTGTACTGTAAACCTCCCTGTAGATTAGTTGTCCTGTAAATTGCAATTCGCGTGCTACCTACGCAGTTAAACAATTTCAATTGTGTACTTTAGCGTTCGATATTACTAACGTAGGCAGATGCTTGTTACAAAATTGATGAAATAGTGACAATATTTACGTACCTCCTGGATTAAGATTCTTTGGTTGTGGAGTGGCACTAGTCGCCGCCCCGGAGGAACGGCGAGATCTGAAAAAGATAATGTTTATATAAATAAAAGAGGAAAAACATACAATATTAATTATATTGAATTCTAATAGGTATTCATCATCATCATAAGGTCGTCAGTCCTAAGACTGGTTGGACACGCACCTCCACTCTTTTCTATCCTGAGCTAATTATCGCATTTTCCTAAAACCAGAACATCCCACATCCTTAACTATTTGCGAACAGTAATCTAATCTAGGTCTACCTCCACCCCTCCTAACTCCCGTTTCTGCAACTAATATGTCCCTGACTACACCTTCATGCTGGAGAAGGTGTCCTACTAACCTATGTCGCCTATTTCTTATTGATTTCCATAGAGTCATGTGTTCTCTTACTCTTTCTAATACCTCATCATTCACCTATAACACCACATTTCAAACGCTCCCAACCTTTTTTTTTTCTGTCGCGCCCACTGTCCATGTTTCGCACCCGTACAGCATGGAGCTCCAAACATACAGCTTTAACAACTTTTTTCGAATCTCTAAATTAACCGTTCGCGAGCATAGAAGTGACTTCTTTTCATTGAAAGCGACACTATCCTGAGCTATCCTCTGCTTTATATCCCTACTATTCCTTCCGTCCTAACTTATTTGACGTTTTAGATACCTAAAATCAGCCACATCTTTTAATCATTCGTCTCCTACCTTCTCATTCGCTCTTTCTCTCTTTTCTTCCCCTGCATACTAGCATTTTTGTTTTAAAAAAGATCATTATCATCACAGGGTCGTTAGTCCTAATACTGGTTGAAACTCCACTCTTTTATATCTTCGTATTTTCGTAAAATTAGAACATTAATGTACCTGTACTCCTCTGAACTCCTGCTTTTGCTTTTAATATGTCTCTGACTAGCCCTTAATGCCTAAGAAGGTGTCCTGTTTCTTATTGATTTCTTTGATTCTTTTTTATATGTGATTTTTGTTTGTTGAAAGCGATTCGACGCTGCGCTATCCTTTTACATCAAAGACTTATTGTATCTTACATTTGATAACTAATAAAGAAGTTAATGCAATGCGTTTACGTATTTTATCGTTTGAATATTTTCACCGTTAATATAAAATGAGCCTTCCCACGGAGTTATTCGTAAATATAACCACTCCATATTCATTCTAACCAAGATTTATGATTTGCATTTTAATATACATTTTAACATCCCCTTGTTGCGTTCGTTCCACTCTGACCTAGTTTTTACCAGCTTTCTGTATCACAGCATGCGTTATTTCCTTATACAGGTTTGTTTTCAACGGATATAAAATATGTAACATATAGTTTTCATGTGGAAATCCGTTTTTGTATGATGATTAGCATGGTAGATGGGACTTTTATGTCTTGTGCATGCAGAAATTAATAGACAACCAAAAGGACGTAATGTTTGTTGGTATGATAGGGTTACCGATAAATTAGACAAAAAATACATCTGTTCTACTAGCTTTCGCTGAATGGTTCGCTTCTTTTATTGAATGATTGAAAAACTCTCATTATCATAAAGTCGTTAGTCCTAAGACTGGTTGGTCACACACCTCCAGTCTTTCCTATCCTGAGCTAATCTTCGCATTTCCCTAAAACTAGAACATCCCTAACTATTCGGGAACAGTAATCCAATCTAGGTTTACCTCTACTCCTCTTAACTCCTGTTTCTGCCTCTAATATGTCTCTGACTAGACCTTCATATCTGAGAAGGTGTCCTATCTCACCCATTTCTTATTGATTTTCAAAGAGTCCTTTGTTTTCCTATTTTTTTCCTATTTCTAAACTTCTCTATCCACGGTATCCTTATCATTTAACTGTAACACCACATTTCGAACGCTTCTAACCTTTTCTTTTCCCCCACGTCCACCGTCCATATTTTGAACCGATATAGCGCCGATTATATATGAAAAAGACTCGAAAAAGATAAGAAAAGGTACAAAGTAGGCGCTATGTGTAGATTTGAACTACCAACCAAGAATTACTCTCGTTCTCAGTTAGATTAATTAGTTCAATTATGGGAGTTTAGGTACAATTAATTACAAGTAATGAATTTGTTATTTGCATGTTAGAGAATCTTTTAAATGCCTTAAATCTACCTATAAGTATATAGGTGCCAAAGTTAAGGTGATTTTCATAGTGACCTTGTAGCGCGTCAAAATATAATTTAAAATGAAATTTCGAGCAAACGGGACATCTCCAGAACTTTTTCCGTGTTGTAAGACCCGATTTGTCTGCATTTGAATAGTTTCGAAAATACCTTGCGTAACTAAAGACGAAACGTACCTACAGACAAATTGACGTGGGGTAGACCCAAAACTATTAGTTTCGCTAATGTTCATAAGAGAAATAATAATCTTATTTAATCCTCTGTAAAGTACAATAGATTGAAACCTCATTTAAATCTGTCTTACGTTAATTATAATTAATGTCATTCGGTTTACAATTAATGTCATTTGTCTAGAGAGCTTTCTAGAAGGACCTTAGAATTAGTTTGTTCCTAAATAATATTATAACTGGTGGCTTTCTGCTATTGGTCATGTAATTTTTGAGGATACAGGTATCTACGGTTGGTGGAAACATAATACCGTCCTAATCATTCTGAATATAAATGTGTATCGCTATCGCACACCACTTTGATTAGCTGACAAGATCTAATTTTATTCCTTAATTAACTCTAATCCAATTCCCGGATTTCCATTTCCTGGTCATAACAGAGGGTCAACGAACGATTTATGAAATGCCATGTAGAGATACAGGGGTGATAACCAAAGCTATATCACGAGAGTCAATTGTCAAGAACATTTCAAAAACCACGAAAAATAAAACCGGCCAATTGCCCCCAAAAGTTTTCCCGTTTTTCCAAAATATGTTTCAAGTTTTCCCTCAAATTGGCCCCATAAACAATATAATTACCTACAATATTATAAAAATATTTTTTTGTGATGTAGATTAAAAAAGGGCGGAAGAACTATTAGGGGAAGATCAATTCGGGTTCAGAAGAAATAGAGGAACGCGGGAGGCCATTCTAGCTTTAAGGGTAACAATAGAGAAAACGACAGAAAAAGGAATGAGTGCATAAGAAAAAGTAGGGAAAGAGCGAATGTGGCTGATTTTAGGTATCTAGGAAGTCAGATAAGTCAGGACGGAAGGAGTAGTGGGGATACAAAGCAGAGGATAGCGCAGGGTCGAGTCCCTTTCAATAAAAAGAAGTCACTTCTATGCTCGCGAACGGTTAATTTAGAAATTCGAAAAAGGTTGTTAAAGGTGTATGTTTGGAGCGCGGCGCTGTATGGGTGCGAAACATGGAGGCTGGGCGCTGAGGTAAAGAAAAGGTTAGAAGCGTTGGAAATGTGGTGCTACAGGCGAATGATGAGGATACTGTGGATGGAGAATGTTAGAAATGAAGAGGTATTAGAAAGAATAGGAGAACAGAGGATTCTATGCAATTCAATAAAATAGGCAAGATAGGTTGGTAGGATACCTTCTAAGGCATGAAGGTAGGCCTAGATTAGATTACTGTTTGGAACAGTTAAGGATGTGGATTGTTCTAGTTTTAGAGAAATGCAGAAATTAGCTCAGGATAAGGATCAGTGGAGGTGCGTATCCAACCAGGCTTAGGACTGACGACCTTACGATGATGATGACGATGTAACTACAAATTTACAAAGAGATCGCAGGACTCAGTTCCTATTTGATAATAATTTCAACTTGATAACATAACGCGTTGCTGAGAAAAAGAGTCTTTATAGACAGATAGGTAGACAGACAGACAGCAACGAAGTGATCCCATAAGGGTTCCCTTTTTTAAGGTACCCTAAACACACTAACTTAGATTTAATGCAATTTGCTTAGAAATTAAGTAACACGCAAAATTCCTCTCAGTGTTAATATTACTTGAGACACGTCTACAATCTTTTATACTAATCCAGTGAAATTACGCCGACGGTATTGTTGTTTAATTGCTTAAACTTAATATTTACAATGCCTTTAAATGTAGGTACCCCACATAAAACGCGTTTCACTGTTTTCTAAAGAATTAATCCATAAATATGTAATATTGGTTTGTTTATTTTGATTAACATAGTTTGAAAAGTTTTTTCCGCGAATAGTTCCTAAAAGACCACTATAAAGAACACGATGTATATTACGAGACTTTTAAAATTTATGAGTTGGATTTGATGTGATCATAAAAGTATTTACGACTGTATTAGAAATATTAACGAAAGATAAAAAATACGAGGGTGGATTGATAAGTTTCCGGCCTAACCAAGAGATGACGCCACTAGGCCTACCTTGAGGTGACATTCTATAGTACCATCCTTGGATAGCTTGTAGCTATAGTTTCAGCCCGATCTCCTTGCTAGTGTAGGTTTGACAGCACGCTGAACAAGACGCCTCTGTGGTTTTCGTAAAAATGGAAAAGCAGGAAAATCGTGCTGTCATCAAATACTTTTATTTGAAGGGGTTAACGCCGAAGGAAATTAAAAAAGAGATGGACTCAACACTGGGGACATCCTCCCCGTCATATTCAACCGTTAAGCAGTGGGTTTCCGAGTTTAAAAAGGGTCGTGTGAGCACCTCTGATGGGCCTCGCTCAGGACGCCCCGTTGAGGTCACAACTCCAGATATGATCGAAAAAATTCATCAAATAGTGCTGGGAGACCGCAGATTGAAAGTGCGTGAGATAGCTGAGACCTGTAAGATGTCATATGAACGTGTGCAACATATTTTGCACCAACGTTTGCATATGGAAAAGCTCTGTGCAAGATGGGTGCCGCGTTTGCTAACAGTCGACCAAAAATTGATTCGAAAAAACATTTCTACCGCAAATTTGTCATTGTATAAGCGTAATCCAAGCGAATTTTTGCGTCGATTCGTAACCGTTGACGAAACGTGGGTCCACCACTACACTCCTGAAACCAAAGAACAGTCTAAACAGTGGATTGGACCAGGGGAACCAACTCCAAAGAAGGCAAAAACAATTTTTTCGGCGAACAAGGTTATGGCTACTGTTT